TGTGTGTGTGTGTGTGTGTGTGTGTGTGTGTGTGTGTGTGTGTGTGTGTGTATTCGTACTTGTGTATTTGCGAATGAAATTTAAGGGTATTCTTTAGTGTGTGGACGTCTTTCAAAATATTTGATGTTTTCAAATTATTTCAACCAGTTGATTGGGGCGTGCGGGACAGTTTGATATCTTTCCTACTTTTTTTTCCTAAGATCTTATTTACTCTACTTTCGCAGCACGAATATGGAAGATCGTTAATGTGCATCAGTTTTGCGGAAAGTGCGATTTAAAGTTTGTATCTATAATTATTTATAGCCATACCATAACATTTAAGTTAGAAGTTCTGAAAGCTTTCCAGATCTTACATCTTTGATCAAGCCGAGTCTTGCCTCAGAAAAGCCCTTTCCCTGGGGGATAAAAGTGTGAACTGTCGGTTCTTTAACTGACGGTGAACACACGTTATTTAAAGAGAGTTTGCTTTCAACAGTAGTGGCGATGGCGGAGAGAAAAAAATATGGCTAATCGGTTTATGAAGTAAACGATGTCGACGATTCCTGAACTAATACTATCACGCTTGCAAACATTTTAGGTCGAAATGATTATATCTCCGGATTTTTCTGTAATCCCCTTTCTTCAAATATACTTGTTTCCTCTATTTACATTTTCGATCCTCGAGTGAAGGTCTTCGACGTACATTATTTATTTATTGGTCTATTTTTGTTCATTCATTTACCCATTTATTCATGTATTTATTTGTTCGTGTATTTATTTGTTCATTTATTCATTTATTCACTTATTCATTTATTTGTTGTTGTTTTTTTATGTATTTATCTCTTCATTTATTTATTGGGGGCATTGATTTGCCTGTTTCTGTGGGTCGTGTATTAATGTTGTTCCCCTAAACCACCTTTTATATTATATAATATCCCTTTCCCCTCCTATTTCTCGTCCTCCTCCATGAAATTTTACTCTGCCTATCACTTGTTCGTCTTTTTTTTACTAGGATGCTAATTCCTGTATTGTTTTATCAATCATTTATATCTTTCTTTCGATTGCTTCCATGTGTTTTTCCGCACAATAAGTTCCCCACTTTACAGTGAAACGTCTGAAGTAAAGAGTCGGCATAGCATGCTGTAAGATCTTTGCAAGCTAACCAAGCCTGTCTCGTCCCTCCATAAATATTTGACATCGATTCGTCAGTGATATTCGCCCTCAACGTAAACACATCCTATACGCCAGACAAAAGGTTATCTGTTAACCCATGGCCAAATTCTCAGGGACAATAAACGCCTGGATCAGGATAAGGCCCCACCCAGCATAAAGTAACCTGCTTGACTCATCCACACACCCCTGCACCACCATGCATAATATTCTTATGATGTTTACCTTTGGGTTGTAATT